GCTGGAGCTGCGCCAGTCCGAAGCCAGGAGCCAGGTGCTTCTTCCTGGTCTCCCATGTAGGTGCAGGGGCCTTAGGACTTGGGCCATCCTCTACTGCTTTCCCAGGCCACAGCAGAGAGCTGGACTGGAAGAGGAGCAGCCAGGACTGGAACCAGTGACCATATGGGATGCTGGCGCCACAGGCGGAGGATTAACCTACTGCACCATAGCGCCAGCCCTAACATTTGTATACATTTTATCATTTAAAGATCTCTTTACCAACATTCTTTACCAGATTTCATCTTTGAAAATGAAGCATGGTGGAAATGGCACTGTGGTGCAGTGGGTTAACGCCCTGGCCTGCTGCGCCGGTATCCCATATGAGTGCCGGTTCGAGTCCTGGCTGCTCCTCTTCCGATACAGCTCTCTGCTGTGGCCTGGGAAGGCGGTAGAGGATGGTCCAAGTCTTTGGGCCCCTGCACCCACGTGGGAGACCTGGAGGAGGCTCCTGGCTCCTGGCTCCGGATCAGCACAACTCCGGCCGTGTGGCCATCTGGGGAGTGAACCAGCGGATGGAAGACCTCTCTGTCTCTACCTCTCTCTGTAACTCTCTGACTTTCAAATAAATAAAATAAATCATTATAAAAAAAATAAAATGAAGCATGGCTCTGTCAGTTCTGAATTATGATACCAGCTGCCATCATCACACACGATGGGTGTTTTACTGACACTCTATCAAAGGAGCAGAAATCCAGTGAGGCCGCCATGGCGTCGTGTGAGCTGCTTCCTTTGGTTATAAAGTGAGATTTGTGGCCAGAGTTGTGGGACTCCTGTCACTGAGGCATAAGGAACACTCCACCCTGACAAGTCAGTGTCGTGGAGGCCATCCTCAAACACAGTTCTTGTGTTAGAAGTGGAAAGGGACAACGGAGGACACACAGTTCAACATCCATGCTTCCAATGCTTAGCACCAGACATAAAGTGGATCCATTCTCCCTCCCTCCCTCCCTCGCTCTCTCTCTCTCTCTCTCTCTCCACTCACTCTGCCTTTCAAGTCAATAAAGTAAAATGGGGACAGTGTTGTGATGCAGCCAATCAAACTGCCACGTGTGATGCCAGCATCCCCATCAGAGTGCCAGTTTGAGTCCCACTGCTTTGCTTCCAATCCAGCTCCCTGCTAACATGCCTGGGAAAGCAGCAGAAGACGGCCCAAGTACTTGGGTCCCTGCCACCCAAGTGGAGGACCCAGATGGAGTTCTGGGCTCCAGGTTTCACCCTGACCAACCCCTAGCCATTGGGAGGTAATAAAGCAGATGGAAGTCTCTCTGTCTCCCCCTCTCTCTGTCATTCTGCTTTCCAAATAAATATTTTTTAAAAGAAGCAACTAAAGGGGCTGGCACTGGGGTGTAGCAGGTTAAGCCGCTGTCTGCAGTGCCAGATCCCATATGGGCACTGATTTGAGTCCTGGTTGCTCCACTTCCAATTCATCTCCTGCTAATGCACCTGGGAAAGCAGCAGCAGATGGCCCAAGTGCTCAGGCTCCTGCCATTCACATAGGAGACCCAGATGAAGCTCCTGGCTCCTGGCTTCTACCGGACCCAGCCCTGACTGTTGCAGCCATTTGGAGACTGAGCCAGGGGATGAAAAATCCCTTTCTCCCTCTCTCTCTCTCTGTAACTCTATCTTTCAAATAAACAAATCTTTAAAGGAGAGAGAGAGAGAGAGAGAGAGAGAAGTTGCCACGCCACCTGTTATATGTCACATCTATGAGGACTTCCTGTAACTTTACAAGTGGGCATTCTATGAATATCATCAAATTAATGCAAGCAGCTAAAGAGTGCAGCACTGACCCTGACTCTCCTCATGTGAACCACCAGCATAAGAAAGTGCAGCAAGGTCGGCCTGGGGCCCCGAGTACAGACGACACACTGAGTGGCACCGAGCTCAGGTGCACACCTAGGAAAGACTGGCAGCCACCTCGTCTTACTGGGCCACAGCCCTCGGCGAACACCTGGTGAGACTTGGTGAATAAAACGTCAGCTCTAACCTCGAAAGACATCCACGGGGTCCCACTGATTTCAACAACACGGAAGGCCATTTCTAAATGTTACTGGCCAGGATAGGAGGATTTATCAAGGGTAAACATTAAAAGCAAGTTTAACCCTAGCACTATCTTAAAAAAAAAAAAAAAAAAAAAAACCTGACCCTATCCTTTCCCAGGAATTAGCTGCTTGACTTGTGTGGCTCCTTGGGAAAGTCCCCACTGTGCTCTTGTTTACCGTTACAGACATTTGTAAATAAATGCACATACTAGCCTGCTCTTCACAGATCCTGCAACACTTTCTATAGGCTTAGTAGCTCTTTAAAGAACGGTTATAGACAAATATCCCAAACTGGGCTTACTGGGTAACTACTGACTGTTACTAACACTAAACTGCGCAGCTCAAATTCACCAAGCAATAGCATCAAGTCTCCTCTCAGGACACTGACGGCCAAAGCCTCGGTCCTTCCTCGTTAGAGCTCCCTGTAACTTCTCAGAAGCAACGTGGCTGTCACCGGCAAGTCCTCACCCAGTTAGACGAGCCTTGCCACTAATCTCTTCTCCAAAACTCCCCTTCGCTTCTTGCTGGCTGCCTGCAAGAACTCACACAGCTGATGTAACAGACTGGCAACAGCTTCCTTCACTCCAGAATGGCATGCAATGACCCAATTAAACAAGAGTAAATCACAAATTCTGCACAAACTACTTTAGCAGAGCGGCGTTACAGGCCCGTTCCCCTGCCGCGGTCAGCAGCCAGCCCGCAGCGGCTCTTGGTTCTACGGATGCTTCGTTAGAAAGAGAGCTCAGAGGTCTAACACGCCGGTGTTGTGCCCCGTTCTGCGTGACGAATGGCTCTCTCGGGCTCGGTTTTCCAGCATCCTGCCAGTGTTGACTCAGGTTGGAGATGGTCCTTGCAGCTCGTGCTCTGCCCTGCGCTACTTGTGATACATCACCAGAAGCCCCCAGCGAAAGCTGCTAGAGAATCTGATTCACCCCCATGGAAAGAGACCCTCGGAGCACCTTGCACCTGCCCTGAGGCTCATCTCCAGCGTCACACCCCTGGTCTCTGGGACAGAAAAGAGCCGCCGCTGCTTTGTCTAAGAGATAACAACCACCCTGGCAAAGGCAAATTAGGCCTGTCTTTTGCAAGCCTGATGAGCTGCTGGCACGGTGGTAGCAGAATGAACAAGGGCGCTTCTAACATGCCACTTTTCAGCAGTAGGGTCTGTGTCTTTTCTGTAAGTTCAAGGGGACACTACTCCTAATACAGGATTTCAGATGTGCCGCTCTTTCAAAGGGGCCTTCATCCAGTGAGCTCGTATGTACAATGAAGACAATGCAAGGCATCCTAAAACCGAAAATGAGAGTAACCTAGGAAAAGGATCGGCAAACGAGGGGTCAGATCCGAGACAAAGCTCAGAATACAAAGCTTTGATCCGGACGCCCCCAAGGCAACTGCCAGTGCACCCTTCTCTCTCTCTCATGAAAGCCACTGTTCATCCAAACGCATGCCACTAGATGCCACCTCTCATTTCTCCCCTCACCTGTGCTATTCCCCACCTTCCTGGACACTGCAGTCCTGGATGGCTTGGGCAGACCTCACCTTCTCTCTTGAATGTCTCCCTGTCTGTGGGCCTTTCATTGCCATTTCAACAAGCTCAAGTCCCTCCTATTCTCTGGAAACAAAATAAAAATATTCTGTACACCCCTCCCCCTAAATATATTAAACACACTACAGCCAAAATATTTTTAAATTAAAAAAATCAGTCACACCACCTGCTGGCTAGATGCTGCCAATCGGGTCTCAGTGCTAGACCTTGTCCTACTGGGGCCTGTCACCCTGTTATGTCCCAAGCCTGCACCTGGGCTGTGTCTTCACCAGCAATACTGGGCTGGTTACTTCCTACAAGTTCTCTGCCCTTCCTCCACCTCTGAATGGACCCTTTCCACTGCCTGGGAAGTCTTGCTCTCATTACAGCAGGGAAACCTCCCTGAGTCCCTGACCGATCAATGACAATCTTGTTCTTCCTCCAAACCTTGTTCTGAAAGTTGAATTGCCTGTTTCCATATTTTGGCCATAGTCTAAAGGTTCACCAAATTCATCACCATAATCTTTGGACTTCCACATACATGAATCCCAGCCAGCTGAATAAGATGAACAAGGAATACTTGTTTTAAAGCATGAAGAACACTGTCGACAAGTCAAGTCAACAGTATGCTCTGCCGGTGCCGTGGCTCACTTGGCTAATCCTCTGCCTACGGTGCCGGCACCACGGGTTCTAGTCCCGGTCGGGGCACCAGATTCTGTCCTGGTTGCCCCTCTTCCAGGCCAGCTCTCTGCTGTGGCCCAGGAGTGCAGTGGAGGATGGCCCAAGTGCTTGGGCCCTGCACCCACACGGGAGACCAGGAGGAAGCACCTGGGTCCTGGCTTTGGATTGGCGCAGCGCGCCAGCCATAGCGGCCATTGTGAGGTGAATCAACGGAAGGAAGACCTTTTTCTCTGTCTCTCTCTCACTAACTCTGCCTGTCAAAAAAGAAAAAAAGGATTCTCAGGCTGGGGTTCACAGCATCTCGGCTGCCAGTCGTAGACAAGTTTCTATAGCTGTGTCCCGCATCATCTACACATTCCGAGGCATGAGAACAAGAGAAACTGCAGCTTTTTAATCCTGTATGTACCACAGCTTCCAGCTTGCTGAGCTCTGGACTCAGCACTCTTCCCAAAATAGAACTAAACAGAATCTCCTTGAACTGCAAAGATCTACACGTCACAGGAGAGTCATCAGACGTGACTACAAGTGTGCGCAGCTCACGTACGGCCAGGGTAAAACGCCGTGCTGACAGAAAGCTGCATCAGAACACTGCGCAGAGAGCCATCACTCAAAGATCTACACAAAGGCAACCACAGCTGAGGAGGGCACAGCTCCTGGCTGTCCGGGAACTCAAGCCCCTGAAGCAAACGGCAAAGCAAGTAGGCACTTACGCATGTCACCGAAGGCCCCCTTTGTCACTTTGGTGGCACGTAACACCACTACCGTGAACTTGTGGGAATACTGGTGCTCCACCTGCAAACAAATGACAGTCGATTTAAAACAAGCTCTGGCTTCCTTCGGAATAACTTAAAAAGTTGTCGTTGAAAATCCGCAGCACACAGACCAGAAACATGCTTTGATCCTATGGCTGGCCCCTCTTTTGCTTTCCCTTCTCTCCCACCAGGGAGTCATGGAGAAGTCCGGATCCCACTTCAAACTGTCAGGACAGCTCGACTGTTGGCCCTTCTGTGCTGTCAGGCTTGCCCAGGGCTTGGGAACAGATGGAAAGGAGCACCACAGGCATCCCAGGAGCACAATCAGGCTTTGTGCTGGGGTGCCTGGCTCAGGGCAAGACGGCCTCATTTAGGTTTGTTTGTCTTTGTTGTTGCTGTTGAATGGAATCCATTATAAACCATGAGTAGCGATGTTACAAGTCTCTGTTGGCCCAATAGGTGCATGCCATAATAAATATTAACAGGTAGAAGGCTTTTTTAAACACCCCACCTAAGTGGAAATTAGTTATCAGACAACCTTACTCACTGAAACAGAAAGGGGAAGCCAGAACTCACAGTTCTCAGAGCAACTGGAGAGGTGGCGAAGTCCTGAAGGCGCAAGTGTTTTCTGTGTTAATCTTGGGGAAGCCTGCCTCACCGAATTTGAAGAGGCTGCTTAACTGGTTAAAAAGTCCATAACTGATTCTAAAAGTGACTAACATACTTGCAACAGTGAGAAGAAATTCAGCAAGTGTAGAAAGCAAAGACCAACTCATGAGCACCAGGTCGCGGGACATCAGGGCCATGCTGCACAGCTCTCAACAGCCTCTGAGGAGTTCACGACACACAGGGCGGTCAGTGTTCAGACACACAGCACAGCGCAGGTATGAGGAGGTGAAGCCACACACGAGGGACGTGACCTTGTTCAAAGAGGCAGAGAAGCCTGACAGTCTCTCAAGATGATGCTTAGTCAGCTCTATTTTCAAAGAGGAGTATCTTCAACGCCGAAAAGTTCTGATTAGCCCAGGTATTGCTCTACATACAGGGAAATATCAATTATAAAGAAAATAGAAATGTTCTAAAATGTGAGTCAAGAAAAAGTATCAAGAGACATTTGAAAGATCTGGAATGGAAGGAAAACGAAAATACAACTTATGAAAACGTGTAGGATGAAGTGAAAGAGGCACTCAGTGGGAAATGCATAGCACTGAACACACTATTACAAATGAAGAAATATCTAAAATCAATAAACTAAGCTTCTACTCCAGGAAACTAGAAACAGAAATCCAACTGAATTCAAAGTAAGCAGAATAAAAAGCGGTAAAAATTAGAGAAGAACTGAACAAAATCCAAAAATAGAGAAAATTAATGAAACCACATTTATTTGGAAAGATCAACAAAATTCATAACCCTACCCAGGCTAAGAAAAATACAGAGAGGACACAAATTAATATTAGAAATGAAAGAACAGATCTTATTACACACCTCATAGATATTAAAGGGCTAATAAAAGGAATATTATGTATGAACAACTCTATGCCTACAAATTTGATTACCAAGAAGAAATGGCCTAGTTCTTTGAAAGAGACAATTTATCAAAACTTACCAGAAGATATGGACTATCTGAATGGCCCATTACCTACTACTACTCAACAAAACACTAACAAATTGAGTCCCACAGTATATAAAGGGAATGATGAACCATGACCAAGTGGGATTTGTTCCAGCTATGTTTGAAAATCAGTTACTATAATCCATCATATTTACAGACTCAAGAAGAAAAAAAACAGCATATTACCATCTCCATAGTTGCATAAAAAGCATTTGAAAAATTAAATACACATTGATAATGAATTTTCAGCAAGCTATGAATATACAGGAAAGTTCTCAAATTGAAAAATATCACCACAAAGTCAACAGTCAATAAAACACTTAATTGAGAGACTTAGAAGACTTGGCACAAAAATCACAAAACAAAGCTACCCCCTTTCTCCTCATTCCTTTTCAACATTGAATTAGAAGCCCTAGCTGATGCAAGAACAAAAAAAAAAAATGAATAAAGTATAATAAGAAGAAATAAAACCCTTTGTTTACAGATGACAAGATTATCTATGTATAAAAACCAATAAAATTGATTTTTAAAAATTGGAACTAATAGATAAATCATATAAAAGTCAATTGTTTTCCCATATACCAGTAATAAACAACTGGAGTTTGAAATTATAGGGCCAGCGTTGTGGCATAGTGGGTTAAGCTTCTGCCTGTGACACCAGCATTCCATATGGGTGCCGATTTGAGAACTGGCTGCTGCACTTTTGATACAGCTCCCTGCTAATGCACCTGGGAAAGCAGCATAGGACAGCCCAATTTCTTGGGTCCCTGCACCCATGGGGAAGACCTGGAAGCAGCTCTGGGTTCCTGGCTTTGGCCTGGCCTAACCCCAGCTGTTGCGACCATTTGGGGAGTAAACCAACAAATGGAAGATCTCTGTCCCCTTCTCTAACTCTAACTTTCAAATAATTTTTTTAAAAAAAATCTTTTTTTTTTCTTTTTGACAGGCAGAGTGGACAGTGAGAGAGAGAGAGGCAGAGAGAAAGGTCTTCCTTTGCCTTTGGTTCACCCTCCAATGGCTGTTGCAGCCGGCGCACCGCGCTGATCCGAAGCCAGGAGCCAGGTGCTTCTCCTGGTCTCCCATGGGCCATTCTCCACTGCACTCCCGGGCCATAGCAGAGAGCTGGCCTGGAAGAGGGGCAACTGGGACAGAATCCGGCACCCCAACGGGGACTAGAACCCAGTGTGCTGGCGCCGCAGGCGGAGGATTAGCCTAGTGAGCCGCAGCGCCGGCCTAAAAAATCTTTTTTAAAAAAATTAAGGACACAACATCATTTACATTAGCATCTCCAGAAATGAAATACTTAGTTTGAATTTAGAAAAGTATATACAAGATCTATATAAGGAAAACTACAAAACTCAGGAAAGAACTCAAAGAACTAAATAAATTGAATGATATTCCATATTCACAGACAAGAAGATTCAATACAGTCAAGAATATCCTTTGAAGACCTTCCTCTCTGTCTCTCTCTCTCTCTCACTGTCCACTCTGCCTGTCAAAAAAAAAAAAAAAAAAGATTTATTTATTTGAAAGTCAGAGTTACACAGAGAGAGGAGAGGCAGACAGAGAGAGAGGCCTTCCATCTGTTGGTTCACTCCCAGATGGCTGCAATGGCCAGAGCTGCGCCGATCCGAAGCCAGGAGCAAGGAGCTTTTTCTGGGTCTCCCATGCAGGTGCAGGGGCCCAACAACTTGGGCCATCGTCCACTGCCTTCCTGGGCCATAGTAGAGAGCTGGATGAGAAGAGGAGCAGGCAGGACTAGAACCGGCATCCATTTGGGATGCTGGCGCTTCATGCCAGGGCTTTAACCCATTGTGCCACAGCACTGTGTCACCATGTCATTTGTTCTTGACTTGACCTATTTAACACTGTACCAGTCAAAATTACAGTAACCTATTTTGTAAATATGATAAACTGATTTGAATACTTACAGGGTGAGGCCAAGAATAGTGAGTGCAATGTTGAGAGACAGTAACAAAGCTGGAGATCGGACACTATCTGATTCAAGACAATATAATCTGCAGTAACCAAGCAGTGTGACATTGCTGAAAAACAGGCAAACAGACTAATGGAAGAGAAGACAGAGTCCAGAAGTGGACATACATGGTTAACTGCTCTCTGCCAAAGAAACGAGGACAGTTTTATAACGGCAAGAAACCGTTTTCTTTAAAGGGATGCTATAGCAGTTGTACGGCACATTTAAAAAAAAATGAATCCAGAGAAATGGTAAGGAGGCTTGAAATACAATGAGAAAATATCCTTGAAAACCCAATTTTAGGTTTAATTTCTTCCACTGAAGAGACTTGCTAAGTAGTAATTATTATATATAACAATGATTCCCTCCCCAATATATATAGATCTATATCCTAAAACATCTAAAAGTATATGAATTTTCAAATATTCTAGAATACTTAAACCTGCATGGATTTACAAATGCCTAAAAACTCTCCTGTAACATAAAATTGTGAGACATGCTTTTATCTATTATTTAATAGATTATTAATATTATTAATAGATTATTTAATAGATTTTTGAAATTGCTACAAATATATTCATATGTCAAGTGTTTATTAATAATAAACAGTAATAGGACTCAACAATTATGAACTCTACACTACACATACTACTAGATACCAAGTTTCATTTAATCTTTTAAACAGTGCTGTAACATTGGTATCATTATTTACATTTATAGATGATTAAAGTGAGAATCTGAGAAATTAAATTTCCAATAACTGACAGATTTTTAATAGCCAACTTTATTATAATCCAATGCCTTTACTCTTTCTACATTCTTTTACTTACATAAATAATACCAAAACCAATAACTTTAATAGTAATAAAGTTTGTTTCCACTTATTAAATATAAATGGTCATAATGTAATTTATCTGTAATATCTGTAATTGATCTGAAGACCTAGTAATTGAATTATTTCCTATAAATCCATCTAGTTCTCCTTTCTAATCTGCTTTTGCTTTCATCAGCCTCAATTCTACCCTCTTAACTATATTAAATGAAGTACTCATACTGTTCACAGAAAATATGGACAAACTGATCTCTTTCTTGATTTTTATAAGATGATTTTAGAAACACTGTGAGGTTTCAGATCACCTAAAAACTATTTTCAAAACACAAGTGTCAACATGTATACCTATCTCTTTCTAAGAGCTATAAAGATTAACAAGGGATTGTCTTTAAAGTACAATGTGCCTTCCTGGACAAAGTTTTCAGTTTCAACCAATGATTATCCAGATAGTCTCTTTGAGACTCCCTTGCCATGTTTCCTAAGGCTCATAGAATTTCAAACTTGTCCAGACAGGGCTAGGTTCTGACTTGGATAGAGAGCTTTTGGCTACAGTTCAGGGATGGTGCCAGAGAAATAGTATGTGTGAATCCACAGCCAGTGTTCCCCAGGGGCAAATAATGA